TCATATAGCCAAATTCTTCGGTTAACTTAAACGAAACGATAAAATAAAAGCCTTCTAATATATTATAGAAGCCTTCTAATACACCCTAGCCTTAATGTGTCTAAATTTGGTCTTAGTATTTTCTGAAGCAGAATAGAAAAGATGAAATTTTATCTAAAAACTACAAGAAAATTTTAAAAAATTATTATAATATTTAAGACTCCAAAAATCTTTTTAAAAATAATTCTTATATACCCATAACTAAAAAAGAGGAAAAATCATCAGAATTTGAACTCCTGTAATAAATCGTGTACTCGAATCATGAAATTATTTTATTTTTTATTTTAGACATTAAGCGATTAAATATGAAACAATTTTTTCACGTCGTGAACGCGCATATGATCCAGAAACTGGTTGTTTTGGAAATAGGAATGAAACTTGTGGAGATATAATTGCTTTAGGTTTGTATTATGGCATTAAATGGATGAAAGCCCATGTTTCATTATGAACAACAAAACAAACTATTATTTCTGTTAGGAATTTATTGTCTTTTATTATAAAAGCCTTATAATATTTCATAGTGTCTCAGTGTTAGTAAAGAATAATATTATTTCAATACTATTCTTTCATTCTATTCTGTCTTAAAAAAATATTTGATGAATAGCCATGTTCCTATTGAACATTGTTATCATATTGTTACAATTGAAATAAAGAAATTTTTTAGTTAATATAAAGAGGTCTGTCAAATCGTGTGCCAGTCCGATTTTAAAAAATCGTGTGCCAGTCCGATCTTGTGCCAGTCCGATGTGCCAGTCCGTTTTAAGCTCAGTTTAATTATTTCAGAAGTAATACTAATACCTAAATAATACATTTTAATAAAATTTAAGGAGGATCGACATTAATATATTTACAGAATTAAACAAACAAAATGATGGGATGAACTTTCAAAACCTGGAGAATATTTATCAAATATAAAAAGATTGAAAGATGGAAAATAAAATTTTAAATGAAAAGGAATCGAATAAATGAAATATAATACATGAATAAGAGAGGAATTTTTTTAAAAAAGCAAAAAAGTCAAGCAGTAAAAAAATATAATTGAAAATTAATAACAATGGTTATATTACTTTATACTCATTTTTATCCACTCATTGCTCGGTGTAGTCTGAATTTCCCAAATTGTAGCTGCTTCAACTTCGATCTATAATAACAAAGTAAACTAAATTTTAAAGCAATATCAACCATCTGCTTTCGTATTTTTAGTAGATTTCTTTATTTTATGCTGTTTTTGGTAACAAGCTTTACATATATATTGTCCTGGTTTTGAATAACGGTACCAATTTGATGTATGATTAACGTGGCAAATAGAACAATTTCGATCTTTTGGTGTTATCTAAATATTTATAAAAAAATTATGAAAATTTTGAATTTTCATTTATATCAAGAAGATATACAGGTGGGGCAAAAGTTCGGTGGGGCAAAAAAAAAGTTCGGTGGGGCAAAAAGTAATTGTTTAATTGTGAGCTAAATTTAGAGCTGTTATTTAGTTTAACAATAAAAACTTTATTAACAGGATCTATTTCAATTTTACAAAACGATTCAGTTTTTTGATTGAAATAATTTTCAATTTTATTTCCATGATTTACATTCATTATCAATACAAAACGTTTCTTTATTTGAATATTTTTTAAATAATTAAATTCTCTTTTATCTTTCCAATTTTCTTTTATTTTTAATCCAACCTCAACCATTTTACCTTTGATTTGGATATTCAACAGAACAAACAAATTTGAAAGAACAATTATAATAAATTTATTCATTTTAAATTTTAATTTTAAAAATATTCTATTAATTACAAATATAATAGATAATTGATTAATTTAATTAAATAGTCTTAATTTAAATACTGTCTTTATTTATCTTGAAATTATTAAGACATTTAAAAATAAATATTTGCACTTTATATTTAATGAAAAATTCATATGATTAGTCGGCATGCCATTATATATTTTGAAATTGTACTTTTTTTATTTGTCAATCGGCGGGATAAATAAAGTAATTTGCACTTTCTGTACTTTGACTCGTTTAAATATGTGTAAATCGAAAAAACACAACGGGATAAGTAGAACTACACCAAAATTTATCAGCGGAAACAATTATGGACCGTGATACAGACTCAAGAATATGAATATAACTTTATGTCATAACTTTGTCGAAACTTGTCCAATCACTTTGATATTCATGTCATTCGATTCATCTCGAGGAGCTCTATACGATAGAGCTATTATTTGTAAAATCGAATTTTTCACTCCAAAAATTTGTTGGTCCTATTGTATGTGTAGAATACATAACCCAAAGTGTTCATATAATTATGTGGCGGTCGAAAATTTGAAAATTTTCTAAAAAATTTTACCTTTAAACTATTTTTAAATTTTCTTTTTTATAAGACGATTTTAGCCGATTTCTAAAATATATTAAGGTTAAAAATCGGTATTTTCCTGCTACATACGGTAAAAAGTTGAAAATTTAGGGGTGTTCATATAATTATGTGGCGGAGTGTACTAATGATCCATTTCAGGATCTTAAAAAAAATTTTTTTAATTAAAACCCGAATTTGTAGTATAACAAATGAATATTTGAACAGATAATTTTTTATTTATCAAAAATTTTTGTCAATTAAAAACTATTTCGTGAAACATAGCAATTCAAATCGACTATTCATTTGTTTTTAGACCCACTAAATATGAATTGTATTTATATTTTTTAAACGATCATTTTCATTTATTTTTCGGATTTTAGTAAAAATTATTACACTATGTATGTTTAACTCCAAACATTCATTTTATTGTATAACGACTTTTGCGCCGAGAACATTTGCGCCGCGACTCCTAAGCGCCTTGTCTCAACTCTGCGCTTTTCATTGGACTACTTTTTCAACTAACTTGTCCAATCGCTCAACTCAATGCAATTAACATTATTCACTAACAATTCAAACTTCATTATTTTGGTCTTACTCACTCTATGGCAACAAAATTTAACTTTACTTTCACTTTGATCTTACTCTATCACTAGCGTAAGACCAAAGTGACTTTAACTTTTTCACTTTTTTAACTTTTCACTTCAAAAACAAATCAAAACTTTTCACTTTTCAACTTTTCACTTTCTATCACACAATTACTTTCGACTCATGCCGATCACTAAACTACGACGTCTGTCCACTCAGAATCCAATCAATCACTTCACTCACTAAGTGCATCAAGCAATTCACTAACTACAATTCGCTTCACTATTTCACTAAATACTCATCTCCACTGTAGCTGTTGTCGATCGTAGACGCTACCGTAGACGTTCCAACCGCGCCATTTGTTATGTCCGAGGGTTGTCCGAGATTTGAATAAAGTCACTTGAATAACAGTTTATCTAATATAAAATGTCAATGAAGGCGAAGGTAAAAGAGCTTGAAACAGATGAAGGGAATCAGTGACTAGACCCGCTAGTATGATCCAATAGATTGACGCTTACACTGGCTTTTATACTATTCTAACACCACTACACAAAAGAAAAGCCATAAACGAAGTACTAACCTGTCTAAAATTTTTCAGTTTTGTATAAAAACTCGACTACAATTCATTATATTTAATTAATTTGTTTATTATCAGCAAACCATAAGTATTTTAAAATACATTAAAGTGGTGCAAAAAACATGTAGAAAAAAGTAAAATCAAAACAACAAGAAAAAATAGAAATTGAAATGTAAATATAAAAATTGTAATAATAATATACACTAAACTCCATAAACTCTCAAGGTCTTTTTTACAAATGCTTAGAATATTTGTTATTCTCTGGTAAACAAGCCCTTTCCCGTTTTTGAAAATTTTTAAAAATTATTTTTTAGACTTTATAAAATTTAATAATTATTGCACTCGGCTTTTCGGCATGAATAAAAGGGTAAAAATTTAAGAAATTTGGAAATCAATAAAAATTTATTGCATCATTCTTATTAATAAGAGAATCGCAAAAGGAAAATCTTTTATGAAATATAAGTCAATCAATAGCATGGGATAGACTTGCACTTTATGCACTCTATGTTCGGCATTTCACTTTATGTTTTCTCCTTTTTTCTAAAACAATTCAGTTTTTTAAAAGAGAAGTCAATGCTTTTTCTTATTATTTTACCTAAAGATTTTTTTGTAAATCATAATTAAATTTATTTGATTGTGAAAGACTTCAGTAAAGATTACTAGATTTAAGTCAGGAGTAAATTAGAAGCATTCCGGAACTTTAATCATAAGCTACTTTCAGCTAATGTCTTTCAGCCTTTAATATGCCGCAAGGCACCTTTGGTTTGTTCCACTAGAGTCAACAAGACATAGCCACTGAATGGTATGAGATAGCACTACCGAATTACATATAGTATTCCAGGATTACGCAAGAATTAAGCGATAAATATCTATTTGAGTGCGACCATACTAAAAAATCTTATTAAGTTCAGAAAAAGAATAAGGCTTAGTTCGGCATTGTACTTATTTAAATATAAGATTTGAAAATCATATCAATCTTAGCTTTTAGGGATGTTAATTATTATAATATTCATATTTAATCTTGCTGAAATAAATAGTTGGAGTCATGTTGGACCAGAAAAGTCAGCAGAATTAGAAGAATCTACCCAACTGAAGCAAAAGTTGCGAATGATTGAGAAGGAAATGCCAACTTTAGACAGTGATGAGGTAAGATGAATTGCAGATATTGTTAGATTTAAAATGAAATTCATGGAAACTAAGTGACCCTCACCTTAAGGAAATGCATATAAAAAATTCGAATAAAATTAGTGGTAAAGGAGTTAGTTTGTTTCGCTGAACTTTAGTACATCTTTTAGCTGACTGTATGAAGTCTGGGCACATATAGTTTTCATTCTATATTAGTTAGGACTCCAATTTAAAATTTGACTATTAAATTTTTTCAAATCTACAAAAAAATTTTAGAGCCTCAATAATCTGTTTGACATTGCCAAGGCTTCAAGCATGAAGGAAGCATTTGATAAAGTTCAAAGCGTTAAAGAAACATCAATGGCTCTCTACAACAAATTCAATGATAAAAAATATGGCAAAATTCACGAAAAATTTAAAAATGCAAAACTCATGGATGAAGAAAAATTATTTGACAAAAATTATCTGACTGGGTTATTCAACAAGTTGTGGGGACATTTTACCGAAAAGAGAGAAGTTGAGGGTAATGTCCTTGAAGATGCCGTTTCAATATGGAAGTCTTTTGCTCTACATTTTAAAATCCCGTCACATAATGTTTGCCTGTGTTATAAGAAAAAGGATGTCAAGAAATATAGTAGGTTAATTCTAAAAATATCAAAATGTAAAAATCGGTTACATCATTCGAATAATTTAGTCATATTGCTTAATTCTTCGGTTAACATAAAACATAACGGTAAAATAAACGTTATTTACTGTTTAATTTTGATCATCACTTTAAAAATTCTTATAATATTTAAAAGACCCCAAAAATCTTTCAAAAAATTCTTCTTATTTACCCATCAATAACTAAAAAAAGGAAAAATCAGCAGAATTTGAACCCTTGTAATAAATCGTGTACTGTAATTAAGAAATTATTTTATTTTCTATTTTAGACATTAAGCGATTAAATATGCAACAATTTTTTTCTCGTCGCAAACGCGCAGATGATCCAGAAACTGGTTGTTTTAAGAATAGGAATGAAACTTGTGGAGAGACATTTCGCCGTGGTGGATTTAATTGTTGTATTGGCTGGACAATTCTTTTGGGGACTATAATTGCTTTATGTTTGTATTTTGGCATTAAATGGATGAAAGCCCATGTTTCATTATGAACAACAAAACAAACTATTATTTCTTTCGGGAATGTGTTGTCTTTTATTATAGAAGCCTAATATTTCATTGTGAAAAACTAATATTATTGAAGACTAATATTATGTCAATACTATTCTGTCATTCTATTCTATCTTAGACAAAATATTTCATGAATAGCCATTTTTCTATTAAACATTATCGTATTATTTCAATTGAGATAAAGCAATTTTTTAGTTACTAGGTGTGCTTCCAGTTCGATTTTAAATTCAATACGCCTGTTACAGTTTGCTATTTAAAATTGTTTCCGCTATTTAAAATCGTTTCAAGTTTAATCTTTTTAGTATCAAGAAATGAGCTCAGTTGACAGCCGATTCTTGAAAATAACCTAACTATCCTGACACCACTACACAACAGCCGGATTATCTTATACTAAATCAACTTGAGAGGCTTATTTCAAAATTATAAATTCTGCAATAAATTAATATTATAAAATTTTAAATTACTAGTCTTTTAATGAATTGATTTTTTAAATTATATTTAAATCAAAATTTTAATAAAAATTTAAAAATCCAGTAATTATGATTTATTAAATTTATGTTTTAATATTTAGATAGTTGCTCGGATTAAATTATTTCAGAAGTGAAAAATGGTTTGCAGTTTAATATACATATATTGATTTTGTATTTAATTTTAAAAGTTTCTCTAAAATGTTTCGAAAAAATGTTTAAATTAATACACTATTTTAAGCTTTAATTTTTCTCAAATATAAAATATTTAATTTTTGCTATAAGTCAAAAATTTCATATTTTTTACCTAAATTCTAAAGCGTTAATAGCTCCACGGAACAACTCCCCCCGCTTTTTGAACAACAACTCCCCGATCAACTTCCCCCGCCATAATACTAAAAATTTTCGCGGCGTTAAATTGGGCTGCGGTAAACTGGGGTGTACCTCAGAACCGGTTCTAGAGAAATTTTGGAATTTTCCATCACTAGGTAAGAGTCGTCGATTTTCGCAACCCTACAAATAATAATTACAAAAGACAAGAAAAAGAAATAATGAGAGAAAAGAGTGTACAAAATGATTTTACTCATGAATGTTTCAAGCCTCAATTACTTTAATTTTATATTCCGTTTCTTAAAGTTTTTTATTCTTTCTATTCTTTGTATTCTTATATTGTTTATTGTAACAAGACTTGCATAAATGTTGTCCATATACATTACGGTACCAAGCTGATGTTTCAGTACTTTTGCAAATCGCACAATGTCGATCCTCCTTAAGTAAATTCAATAGAAAAAGTATTTATATAAAGGCTATTAAATAATTAAAAATTATGAAAATTTTAGCTCTAATTTGATTGAAAAACAGTGCGTTAGCATCCTATTTTTATATAGTGGTAGTAATTAAAGCATAATAGCTCAATTGCATAAAAACTTTTCGCTTATTGTCTATCGGTCCTCAGCGTTTGGACAAAATTACTTCAGTAAGTTTAAAATTGGTAAATATACATTTAAAGGGTCTAACTTTAATTATTTTTTAATTATCTTACTAATTAGAGAAAATTTAACCTTTTTAATGTTAATCCAAAATTTTTTTGGTATATGCTTCCCAAATTTTCGATTATAATCTCCACATTTGCTGCACAAATAATTTTCTTTTATGTATATATACCATTGTATAGTTTTTGTATTTCCACAATTTAAACAATGTCGCATAGTCTCCTCAATAATTCCACCCATAATATTTAAATTAAATTTTTTAGTAAATGAATGTATAAACAAAAATAAAAATTTTACTTAGTTTATTGCCAATATAAATAATTCTGTCTTTTAATTCTCTAGGATATTCAACTTTTTGTTTTTCTAACAATTCACTTTTATATCCAATTAAATTAATTTCCGTCCAATAACTTGATAAAAGTTTATTTTTGTAATTTTCTAGATTTTCTTTTAATATTTCTTTTTTATTTATTTTTTGATTTTCTAACCCTTCTTCTAATATAGAAGTTTCATAATATTTATTCTTCTTTATAAAATTATTATTTAGGCGAATCTTAGAAATATTAAATTTGTGTACATATTATTGAAGTCTTAAATTTAAAATAGTTAAATATAAAATACCTGTTTTCCCAAATTATTCAAAAATTTCCTAACAATTTCATTATTGGCAATTTCAATCAAAATCTTGTTTTTAGTTGAGAGCTAAATTTAGACCTCGTACTTAGTTTAACAACAAAAACTTTGTTAACAGGATTTACTTCAAGCTTACAAAACGATCCATTATTCTTATACAAATAATCAACTATTCTATTATTTTGTTTTACATTCATTATCAATACAAAACATTCCTTTATTTGAATATTTTTTAAATAAATGAATTCTCTTTTTTCTTTCCAATATTCTTTTATTTTTAATCCAACCTCAACCATTCTACATTCTATTTGGATATTCAACAGAACAAACAAATATGAGAAAAGAATAAAAGATAATTTATTCATCTTAAATTTTAATAATAAATCTCCTGAAAAAAACAAACAACAAATATTAGACACAAATTATATATCTATTAAACACTTGAGGAAAATAACTAAATGAACAACTAAATACTAGCTATTTATTAACATTTAATATTCTTTTATATGTAAGAGAAACTCGTTAAAACATTGAGAAAGTAATGTAAATTTCGAAATTTTAAATAAATATAAAGGGCATAGAGGAGGTGAATATCAAAAGAGTCGACAGATTTTATTGACAAATTAGCGAGAGTTCAAGCATCGATTATGAGTGCATGTATGTGTAAAAATACGTTTTAAATTTCTTTGATGTTGTAATAATGAAAATATTAAAATAATTAGACAATTTTTAAAGAATCTGTTTGTTTGAGCAAGTTAATTGTGTTTTTTAATTTTATTTATGCAGATTTAATAAGTAAAAAAATAGTAAGAATTTTGTAAGTAAGAAAATCCATTAAAAATGGTATTTAAACTCTTAGGAAGTTTTCAGTTTTCCAGTTCTCAGATAAACGGCATAAACAGTATACGGTTATTTCAAAATTAAACGAGTTTGTCCTACCCTACTTAATATTATTGGATGAAATTTCAAATCGGTAAAGATATCTTACAATAAAATAATAAAAATATGCATAAAATTAGTAGAAACAAGTGCTTTTTTAAAACACAAATAACTTGTTCAAACAAACAGATTTTTTAATAATTGTCTAATTATTTTAATATGTTTCATTAATACAACATTATAGCAATTTCAAAATTTAGCGACTCGAAAAATAAATTTACATATTTATTATTAAATTTAGCCTCCATTTTATAATAATCAGTCAATAAGAATTAAAATATTGCGAAATTTATCACTCCTGATTCTTATTTATTCATTTCTTAAGTTGTCGGCATTAAAAAAAGTATATTTGCACTTTTTGTCGATTGAATGTTCAATATTTATGATTTTTCATTAAGATATTGTGTTTTGTTTGCCTTCACTATGCCCTTTTATTTATTTAAAATCTAAAAACGAGACTCTAAATTTTAATAAAAATAACAAGAATGAATGAATATAAAATTTTGTCATATATTTTTTAAATAATTTAATTGAATAATACTCAGCCAAGTTACGGACTATAATCAAATTTCATAGTTTATTGTTCGTATCTAATGTTCATATTATTTTCATAAATTGAGACTAGTGTTTTCTAACGTAATGATAAATTGATGGCGATGCAATAATTCAATCAAAACGATATGCAGATTGACGTTAAGGCTACTTCACTATTGCTGGTAAAAGTGTCTGTGTAAAATAAGCCCCAGTGTAATAAACATTTTATGTATCTAGCCGTCATAAAAAATTCTGATTAGGCAATTCAATTATTTAAAAATTATATGACCGTAATTTATATTTAATCAGCCTCGCAATTATATTAAAATTTATGGTCTCGTTTTTAGATTTTAAATAAATTTAAAAATCTAACGGCAATCAAAACACAAAATTTTATTAACAAATCATACATATTAAAAATGTAATCGACAAAAAGTGCAAATATTCTTTTTTAGCATCGCCGACTTAACAAATAAATATTAATCAGGCGGGATAAATTTCGCAATATTTATATTCTTATTGAATAATTATCATTATAAAATGGAGGCTAAATTTAAAAATAAATAGGGCATTAGTTACATCAAGACAAATTAATCAGTGAGGTTATTATATCGTTATTGATTTAATTTATACGGCTTTTGTCTAATGTTTATTGACTTTATATGCTTATAAATTGAAGGCTAAATTTAGAAATAAATAAGTTTTGTTACATCAAGACAATTTAATCAGTTATTTTATTATTTTTTTATTCATTTTATTATTCGCCTGGTGTCTAAGCAATATTAAATTAAATTTTTAAAATTAAAATTTTAAATGAATAAATTTATGAGCATTATTATATTAATTTTTATTTTCCTTTTGAATATTCAATGTGACGGAAAATCGATCAAAGTTGATGTAAAAATAATTGATGATTGGAAAGAAAAAAGAGAATTTATTTATTTAAAAAATGTTGAATTAAATGAACATTTTGTGTTGAAGGTAATTGAAAAGACAAATAATAAGCATGATGGCTTTAATAAAAATATAGATGGATATTTGCGTTCAATTGACTTAAATCTAGATAAAAATATGTTTGAAGTTGAAATAAGTGATAGATCAAAATATATTCC